AATCAGGTCAACACTAACAATTTTGTTCAAGCTAAATCTTTCACACAACTAAACATTGATGAACAAAATTAACCCTGAGAATTTAGTAAATATATTTTGTATTTATTTTTAATTTAATTTTTTTTTTCTCGAATCAATTGCATGTATGATTTGTGCTTAATTGATAGCAGACTTAAGCAAGGCCGACGCGTAACAACTTTGAAGTAGCTGTTCAACATGTTCAATAAAAAAGTTCTATTTTTAAAAACTTCAGATAAGGCCTTTGAACTTCATGCAAGTTCTACAAAATTCGGGAAAGTCTTACATGTTTCAGGAAAATCCTGTGAACTACTGTGATGACCCACGACGGTCAGGAAATCTCTCCGAACCTTCAGAACTTCGAACTTCATGCAAGTTCTACAAAATTCGGGAAAGTCTTACAAGTTTCAGGAAAATCCTGTGAACTACTGTGATGACCTACGATAGTCAGGAAATCTCTCCGAACCTTCTACAAATTTTAGAGAAGTCTTACGAACTTCAGGGAAGTCCTTTAATCTTTGGGGAATAACTACGAATTTTACAGAATTTTCTACAGATTTAATGTAACTTCTACGACATTTAGGCATTACTTAAAACTTAAGGATAGTCCTATGACACTTATGGATTTTTTTCCGAGCTCAAAAAAGTTCCTAGAACTTCCGAGAAGTCGATTGAACTACAGGTAGTCCTACGAAATTCATGGGAGCTCTCCAAACTTCAGGGAATTTCCAAGAAACTAAGGAAAGACCCACAAACTTTTGGAAAACCCTTCGATATTTAAAGCCTTATGAACTTCAGGGAAGCTCTTCTAAATTTAGGGTCCTCATATATTCAGTTAAGTCCTTCAAACTTCAGGGAAGTCCTCAGATCTTCGAGAAAGTTCTTCGAACTTGAAGGAAGTCTTACAAACTTCTGAGAATTTCTACGAACTTCGTGGTACTTCTACGATATTTAGGAAATTTCTATGAATTTCAAAAAACTCCGAACTTCAGGGAAGTCCTGAGATCTTAAAAAAAGTCGTTCGAACTTCGGGGAAGTCCATTAAATACAGGCAATACAAACTTCAATGAACCTTTCAGGAAAGACCTTAACGCTTCAGGAAAGTTCTACGAACTTTAGGGAGTTTCTTTGAACTTCAGCAGTCAGTCTTTTTAATAATAAGAGTTATTAAACCAGCGTTGTTTATGAAATCTTTTAATCATATGATTTTGAAATCATGTTGTAATCAAAATTCCGCTAAATAAGATCCTTAATCGTTGACAATTTGCGGAAAATTTAAACCAACTGGAAATCCGTAAAATTGTTAGAAGCAAAGGTTTGTTTAAACAGTCCTCATTCATATCACAATTCGCAATTTCACGTTGAGATAAACTAGCCCGTTGGCTAAAAATCTCAATAATAAATTTAAAAAAATCGCAGGGGCTTATAGATCTCTAAATTTCAGACATTAGATAGGGCTCCGCGCTAGCCGTCGTATCTCAGCTTTTCTTTGTCCGATATCCCTAAAATCGCTCATTTTACGGGTTATCGCAAATGTTTCAGTGTCAATCGTAATTATACAAGATATTTTTGCAAAAACATGAGTGAAAACGCTTTGCTATTATAGTTTTAGCACATAGAACGGAAATAGGCGCCATGATACGACGAAGTAGCGCGGCTCCCTACTAGCTTCTTTACAGTAAACAATCAGATAAAGATTTCACGGGCATTAACAAGAACCTTAATACCTATTTTGGTTTGTGAAATTCCGCATTGCGCGAAGAATGATGGTACAAGGATTCACTTTATTTTTTTATTAAAAATAGTTTTTTAAATACATGGTTTTTAAAACCAGAAAGTTTTCAAATCATTGACCAGGAAAACCAGGAAAAATCCAGGAATTTCAAAATGGAAATTAACTTGCCACCAAGAAAATTGATGTATTTCGAAACAGTTCTGGTGAATTCATCAGAATACGATTGCGACAACAGTGGTTTAGTGAATAAAATCATATTAAAGACATTTTACGATTAATTTTAATAGCGAATTATTTAAACGGTGATTAACCACTTGCGTCGTCAATGTAATTACCGGAAACCTTCCACACCTAACACTATAAACAAACAAAAAATCTAATGCAAAGCAATTCGTAAATTCAAATCTGCCTTTGATCCGTTTGACCTTTTTCGACGTTTCTGCCATCTAGAGAAGAAGGGGAAAACTTAGGTCCACGCCCAAAATTTAAACGCTTCAATTAGCGACACAGTCAGTCAACGTCGACAACCTGCCTGTCTGTGTCAGAAAGTCACGGTCAATTATATTTTATTATCGAATGTATCAAACGGTGGAAGAGATAGGATAGAGCAGCACCGTTTCATTTACCTAAATGGAAATTAATGTTGCATCCAAATTGGTGCAGCAGTAGCGGGTGGTTTTGTCTGTTGCGTTCTTTTTTTTTCCTTGCATCTAACCGGAAGCTTGAGCACAACAATGCAACCACCTCATTCCAACGGGACCTAATAAATTAGATTAGTCCAGCTGATAAAAAGAATGATTTTGTTAATTCGTTAACTACCAGCCCAACTGGCAAATGCAATCTTTGGAACGGAAAGTGTGTAATTTCTCTGCGATTTATCGCTGTTTTTAGCGAAATTGTATTGTGGGAAATATGGGATCCATTTGCAACTGTAGGTAATAATCGTTCTGCGAGTCATCAAGCACCGTAATCCGAGAGCAATTTGGTCACTTTTTTACCGAAAGTGACAAATATTGGTAACTACTCTTTACTACCTTTTACAGTGTAAATGTACAACTGAAGAGTTCTACAAAAAGTAAGTTATCATGAAAAATATCATCAATACAAGCATCATAACATTGCAATGCATTGTAAATAGAAATGTAATAGGTATATTAGGAAATAATTGAAAACAATGCAGAATTTTAACATTCGAAAATTGAGATTTTTACCTCACCCGGTCTGAAAACCATGACCACCCTTAACTGCGAATGATCAATGGTGTTAAAAACTGCAGTTTAAGCAAAGAGCTTCGATGCTGTTTGTGAAATTGGAATAATCTAAAATGCTAAGAAGTGAGCCTCAATATTACTCATTTGTTATTTATTATTTCCCCACAAATGTGGAAACCGAAATCGAAACTCCCAAGGTACAGGAGGCGTAAAAATTGCTGCAACAACACAACACCGTCCAATGAAGTCAACGAACGCTGCTTACTGCTACCATTAGCTACTATAGGCTACGTACTCGTTTCTACCGCGGTAGTATTGTCGATGCACTTTTTGCAGTTTTATTGAACTTTAGAACTACTTTCGATGTCTCCACGGTGTCGTAGGGGTGTCAAAATGCAACTCGATAACATTCAGAATGAATGTGCAGCGAAGCATGTTCAGTGAGAATTTAGTTGTTTGGTGAAATGCGATATGGGTTTCCGTTTACGTCGTGTGTGCGAGTTGTAACAACAAATAGGTGATCACCCTAACGTGATTGTGTATTGAAATTTATTCCGGTGCGTTTATCAAGCGAAATTGAATTATATATTCCACTTGTTGAACAGATCATCTGTGGACATGGCAAGTAGGGTAAGATGGGGAAAGATGGATCACCTACTTGATTTATTTATATATTTTATTGTCAACGTCAACAGTATGAAAAAACAAACCATCATTGGTTGATTTTGTCAAACAAATAAATTAATAAATATACTAAATAGCTGACCCATATTTTCCACCTTACCCTATATGTATGACTCATAACATATAACATGTTAGCTTCACTGCAACTGTTTAAAACCAAAAGAAAAAAATATAATTTTGGTCGACTGTCGTTTTGTTAACATCAACTTTTTTGCATATAGCACTAATATGCTATTATAGGCAGTCAAGATGCTAAGTGAATCGGTTTAACAACAAATTCTAGGCTTGTGTCCCTCCTTGAAATCAGGTAGGCAAATTCTTTCGTTAGTGATAAACAAGAGCATATTTTGGGCAAATCTGTATTCAAATCTAGATGTTATCATATTATGATCATAGGGTTTTTGATCTAATTTCCGTCCTACTAAGCACAACCCGCGCTTTGCCTCTCTTTTCTGAACTAGTTTAAACAAAAAATTGAATATTTCTGTCTAAGATGACTTCTAAATTTATTCACCTTTCTATACGTATCGTTAGATTTGACAAAGAGGCACGAATTGTTGAGATATTGTTTAAAATATAATACTGCTTCTTGATTCAAAATTCGTTCTACGAGTTTCAATTCCGTCCTAACGCATTGAAACGCCATTAGATTTTCTTCGTCCTACGGAAGAAAAAGGGGATTCGCTAGGAGCGCTTCTTTTGTTTTGAGAACAATGAGCGTAAATATTCATACAATCCGCTCTAACAGGATTTATGTTGTAGCTAATGAACTAACGCATCGGAACAAACCTATTATTGATTTGTGCACGGTGAAATAATTGATATTTTTAATCTTTTTTGATCGATAGAACGGAAATGGGCGATTACGACGAAGTAGCGCTCTACCCTATGTAGACAAAAAAGAAATATAATCTGAAAACGACTCTTTCACATACCCAGTAGAAGTATCGGCAAACCTTCACTGGAAATTATTGAATTCATTTCAAGTTTACATAAATGCATCCGATCTGCATCCATATGTAGATTAAACTAGCTCATATTGTATTCGAATACAGTCTGTACCGTACCATACAGACGGCATATACTTGCTTATCAAAACAACCGCTTTTGCTTGATATGCATTCTCCGTCGTTGTGTTGTGGCTTCTGTACTTGCTGTGGCAGTGCACTGACTCAAATATTGCCATTAGAGTTGAAAAGTGGAACGAGAGAAAATTCGATTTTCGCTAGTGGTTTTTTTTTCAGTTTTCAGCTGTTAACGACAATACATCAAGATCAAAGTGCACACTCTTATTATCAGTTGCATTTGCTATTGCTATTTACTAAACCTCTCCCTTTCTCTCTTTCCTCTAGGACTACAACGAACAATGTCCGTACTCGCTGTCACCGGTTAGCATCAAGAGTCAAAAATTGCTGCGATCGCCGCGAAAGGCCACCCGCAAAATTTCGAAAATACCCTTCAAAGTGTTAGACGCGCCTGAGCTGCAGGACGACTTCTACCTGAACCTGGTTGACTGGTCTGCCCAGAATGTGCTGGCGGTGGGGTTGGGTAGCTGTGTTTACCTATGGAGTGCCTGCACCAGTCAGGTGAGTTGAGTAACCCAGCTTCTTATCAGCGGTGTATCCGGTCTCGACGCTGCAATCGTTCGCTAATGTCTACTATATTTGCGTTTTCAGGTGACACGGCTGTGCGACTTGAGCTCCGATGCGAACACTGTCACATCAGTTTCATGGAGTGAACGAGGGCATCAGCTGGCTGTGGGGACGCATCATGGCTACGTCACCGTGTGGGACGTGGCCGCTAGCAAACAGGTATGTTCCTCCAGTATGCCATAATGTATAGTAATCGCGGTGAAATGAAACACGTTCCCTCGGATAGTGTGCAAATATTGACTGTTTGAAGATGGTAAACATTCCCGAGGGAAGACGTCGCATACGACCGAAAGCGCAAATACATTGAAGCGAGTAGCCTCTTGATGATCTTTGACAAGTAGCGCACATTCACCGGCCAATTCTGGCCACTTCATAAAACAGCGGATTTTAATGCACTCATTTTGTTTATTCCATTCGTCGTTGTAAGCAAATATTGCACAAAAGAGGATCAGAAGCAGTATCTTTAATTGACATTTATTTGCGCTCAATTCTTCTGCTCTCGAATGTTGGATGTCACTCGAGCACGCAAATATGAGCAGTTAGTCTGTGTTCATCCGATGCAAAATGACTCACTGGAACCAAAGGGTTACAATCCCTGTTATTTCTTGTCAACGGGTTATATGTATTCAAATGCAATGTTGTCCCGTTTTTCAGATCATTCGAAAATCTCATTTTGGTCAACGGTCTATTTAAAGCTGAATAAATAGGAGCCGACATGAGCTTGATGAGCTAGTTTTCCGCTCAATTTACCAATTTCAATTTAATTCCTCATCAAAAATGTTCGCTGGATAAATACAGCATGGGGTCGCATTCGGACACACAACTGATGATCTACTTCATTTATGAAGCTGAAAATGGTACTCGGAAGCGCAAACAAACATCTATTGAGTTCAATTTTCAGATCTTCATGGCTTCTGGATGATGATATGTGTGCTGTCTTTGAGTATATGCTTGACGTTGTTGATTGTAACAAAATATAACCTCCAATTTGGTTAGTGCGTCTCTTAATGGATGTTGGGTCCAACCAAATTTACCTACAAGTGACAGATTTGTGCGTCTCTGCGAGGATGCTGGTTCTTGTTGGGTTCAACAAAAAACACACTTCTGGATTGAAACGTTTTTGCGTAAATGCATGAATTGTAAATAGTTAAGCCTGATATTCTCAAAGAATCAGTTACTCAATGAGAACCAGTTAAATATATATATATATTTTTTTTTTATTATAGAGGTTTTAAACCAACGGGTTCATTCGCCTCTTTGCAGTAAATTCGATTATATCTTATCATATAGCTTACATTTTTTTCAGAAATTTTATAGCCATCAATTCTTCGTTCCAATCGTTTCCTAATGTAATGCTTAGGAATGAGAACCAGTAATATGATCTTGTTTGGATGGAAGAATTTTTAATGACTTGGAATAGCATGGTAATTATTGATCATTGAACCAAAGATTATTGAACAACTAATGCCTTGACTGCCTAGAGTAGCATTATTGAGTATTGCCCATAACCGCAAATCAGTCTCATCTGTAAAAAGCTGGAAATGAGAAAACGGCGTTCGAAGATTTAACAGGTTTTCTCATTTAACACTTTAGAGGGATAATTATGAAAATAAAACGTGCAATGTGATAGAATGCATCAAGTTTAGTAAAAAATATTGGATAAAATATCGTGAAATTTTTATTTTATGGCCAAAATCTGACTGAAAGTGGGACTGACTTGCGATTACATTTAACGTCAGTAAGAAACATAACTGCAAGTCAGTGACAATATCATGACGCTGCTGCATTAGTTTAGCACAGTATTGAACAGTAGATACCATGGTCCCATAGAACGCTATTAAATGCTATTGGAATCGTTCCGCTGATTCTGGAGCTATGGCCTGAACATATTCCGGCGAGCCAAACCCACCATGTAATAAATCAATTCACATGATAATTTTAAAATAAGATCAATAAGAGTCATGATGAGTAACCATCAACATGTTGGTCGCCCCCGGACATGTTCCGGATATCCCCGAGGAAGTGGTAAAATCTTTCAAATCTAAATCCATCATACGACGCTTAAAATCACATGAAAATTCCATTGGCGGTCATATTGAGGGTCGTAAGAACTATATTGGTCACATCCGGATAAGTACAGACTCTGTTTGAGTCAAATCTTATGATGCGATATGTTGTCTAACATTCTTAATTCTATATAAGCAAGCCTAAAAACATAGCTGTGACGTTGTTTTATAGATTATTTTATTGAAATCATATATCTTTCCTAATGGGACTGACCTGCGGCTACTTTTCGCTGTGCTGTGACCATTTGACTTGGTATTGTTTTTAATTTTTATTGAACAAACCACCTTTTTTCAATAGCACAGCTCAAAAAACTGGTCAATTGTTTCATTGGACAGCGTTCGCTTTCTACAGCTCGGTCGATCCTCTTGTCATCCCGTTTGAAGTAAAAAATTGTAATTATTATTGAAATAATGAATACATCTGGAAATCTCAGGGATTTTTATTTAGCAAAATTAGTAGACACCCTGTAGTGAGCATTGTGACAACGGAGTGGATTTTATCGGCTCCAATTCTGCCCAATCTAATAATTTTGGGAAATTGTCAAGCCGACGTTGAAGAAAACTGGCAGAGTAATTTTTGGATGTTAGAAAAATATCAATTTCAATAAAAGTTTGGACAATGGACTTATGTTTCTGACATTTTTCTATGAAAGTGCAACAAAAACGCTACAAATTGATTACTTAATATTTTTCAATTTCAAATCAATCACGAGAATTTCTAAGTGACCATGCATAACGTCCAGATTCTAAGTGACCATGCATAACGTTTTACCACTGATGTTTAATAAAAAAGAAAGTAGTAATACTGTTGAAAAAAAGATTAAACTATCCTGGACGGTCATCCGGGTCATTTAGCCGAATGTCGTTTGATCGAATGTCATTTGGTCGAACGCCGTTTGGCCAAAAACTGATTTATTCCGAAAGTACTTCTCATGAAATGAATGAATAATTATATGAGGTTATAAGAAGGAAAATATCTTAAAATTTCTAATTTCTAATTTCTCGTCCAATTTTCCAAACGGGATAAAACACATTATAACCTCATTGTATGCTACATTGGCGCTGTCAAATACATACGAGAACAGAAAAATCTCCTTAAAGTATTTTTATTTTTTGTTTCGCTTCATACTTTAAAACCTCATTCTTATATTTTTCAACCTCCTTTTGCAGTGTCAACATGAACAATAATTCGAAGAATATGAAATTCATCACCTGTAATGCTGACGTTTTGTGAGTGCCTCGACATTACGGTTGAATTATCACTCCGTGGAACTTTTCCTATATTGGAAGTTTTCCTACTGAGTTTTATCAGAAACTTCAGAATTTTGAAAAGTAAAGGATCTTGAGATAATGTTTTAATTGTCTTTGCTCGACAAGAACGCCTTTAAATTGATGTCCAGTGCATAGATCGAGGAAATGAAATGGAAATGAAAAATCTCCAAGTCCTAGATCGTAAAATTCCATTAAGCTTGGGATCTGGATTCATACAATATTTCCTTTTCTCAATTTCATATTAGGTGGTTAAAAGGAAATGAGTTCAAGTGATAATCCTGAAAACCTGAGCTAGGGGCGTTAACAAATGCGTAACAAGCAATGCATTAGGTATAGGAAGAACGTGACATAAGGCATGCTCCCTTATCGATACTTTGAGCAAAATTTTATGTACGCTATTTACATAAGGGGTTGTGCGTAGACACTTTAAGAGGGGCAAAGAAGAGGGTTGATAAGTGTGTAGGCTCTTATTATATTATAACAGAGTCCATTTATGTATGTCAGATGCACTTCTTTCCTTCTGCCCTCTGATTTCAAATCAGCAATGTATTATTGTTTGAAAATAGATGACTTCTTAGGGACAAACCCCGTCGTAGTGGTTAACATCCATGCCTCCCACGCCAAAGTCACGAGTTCAAATCTCATCCCAAGATAAGTCACGAATGACTCAGTAGTGTTAAAGTAACTAGTATTCGACCACAAGACAATCGGCCAAATGGCATTTGGTAAAAGGACATTCGGCCGGACACAATTCTAGACTTGAATGACGTACCGACAGAGTTCTTAGGGCTTCAGTGGGATGTTTTAAGATGTGCACTCATTTTAGAGATGTTCGCGATGACTTCGTCAGAAAAAATTAGTAAATATAAAGATAAGTTTGAGAAGTTCAGAGATTTTTCTGTTGGTATGCTAGACTTCTGTCAGATGACATAGTGAGGTAAACACCACCATCGACAATTTCTACTTTATCCAAAAAAAAAAAACGGTATCACAACTTGTAATATCATCCGCAGTTGTTTGCCTGTTGATTTTTGTCTACAAAAATCAAGCGTGATCATGGTGATATTTTTCACCATGATCACGCTTGATTTTCGTAGACAAAAATCAATAGGCAAACAACTGCGGATGATATTACAAGTTGTGATGCCGTAGCTGCGAATATCAAGCTAACAAAAGTCACCAGCTGCAATTCTCACAAAACTGTGAGTTTGAGTTTCAAGATTTTTATTTTACACCCGAACGCGACCCGAAACTTGCATCACTGCTTGAAGCCATAGGCGTAGCCAGAGGGGGTAGCTTCCCCCTAAACCCAGCAACACAAAGGCTTTCGGTAAAATGGCATTCGGCCAAATTTTCCATAGAATTTTTTTTCGCCTCTCCCCCTAGCTCGAAACCTCGCTACGCCCTTGCTGGCAGACACAGATAGCAAACTATACTTTCTCTTGCTAAGAAAACAATGCGCATCGGAATCATTTTTGTGTCGAGTCTGAACTTGATTTTTGCATATTGTGAATACTCTTACAATAATCAAAGGAGCTTGTAAAATCAATATCAAGTATGATATGTTGTTCCAATATCACGTGTGCTATGAAATAAAGTTATAAGGACTGGAGACTTGCAGAGAAAATCGAATCGGTCAATGTTACATTGAACTTTTTGCATTTTTTTTTGTATTGCAGCACTGAAGCGGAAAAAACCGAGGGTAACCGGGAGTCAACCGGGAATCGTAAGCAACAGGGAAATAATCGGGAATTTGCATGGAACATTAACGTATAATTTTAATATTGAATATTTGTTATAGTTTATTATAGTTCAGTATCTTTAATGTTTCTCTTAGAATTTTGAACCTAGTACAGAACTTCAGAATTACATATGCTTTCTGGATTATCCTTAATAATCTTATGCATATATTTCTAGAAATTTACTCCATAAAAATTGTATTTCTATGCAGAACACTATTTATGGATTATGGATGTTAGCCTCTTGATTGTTCATAGGAATGCTTTACAGAAGGAAAATGCCATACACTAGGAAAGATTAACTTTTGATGATAACCTGCCATGATCCACAAGATTCGTCGCGTAAGAGAAATGCGATGTCCAAATAAAAAAAAAACTTTTCTTTATTTACCCACCCAGTCACTGAAGTGGTAAATGCGCATCTATCAAGACGACATACAAGTTATAGGTACTCGATGGTTTCACGCACTGCTCACTGATGACACCATTCAGAGTTTGCAAAAAATAAATAACGAACACTTTTCTTACGCACCCGTTTTTTTTATATATTGTATTGCGAAACGTGACTTGAATGGACAGTGACACCTTCCTAACTGGATTCGCATTTTTTTTGTGAGACTGCTAATCTTATCCGCTTAGAAAAAAAAAGTGCGTGACGCACTCAATTGCTTAATGCCTACATTTTTCCCTCTTACTTCAATCACAGGTTAACAAATTGCAAGGTCATTCGGCCCGCGTAGGTGCACTAGCTTGGAACGGTGATGTCCTCTCGAGCGGGTCTCGAGATCGCCTGATCATGCAGCGGGATACTCGAACTCCAGCTCAGGTATCCGAGCGACGTTTGGTCGGCCATAGGCAGGAGGTGTGCGGTCTCAAATGGTCCCCGGATAATCAATACCTAGCCAGCGGCGGCAATGACAATAGGCTATACGTATGGAACCAGCATTCATCCAATCCCGTTCAATCGTACTCGGAGCACATGGCTGCAGTGAAAGCGATTGCGTGGTCACCTCACCACCATGGGCTACTCGCCAGCGGAGGCGGTACGGCAGATCGTTGTATACGCTTCTGGAATACTCTCACCGGGCAACCGATGCAGTGCGTCGACACTGGGTCTCAAGTTTGCAATCTCGCCTGGTCGAAACATTCCTCGGAGCTGGTGTCCACCCATGGCTATTCACAGAACCAGATCCTGGTGTGGAAATATCCATCGCTCACGCAAGTTGCCAAGCTGACAGGGCATTCCTATCGGGTTCTGTATCTTGCACTGAGTCCCGATGGAGAAGCGATCGTAACCGGAGCCGGCGATGAAACCCTTCGTTTTTGGAATGTTTTTAGCAAAGCGCGGAGTCAGAAGGAAAACAAAAGTGTTCTAAATTTATTTACCAACATTCGATAGGTAGACATTAGACCTAGAAAGGAGCAAGCTTGATAGGGATACAAATTGTTCCATGCTTCCATTAGTGCAGTCCTCAATCAATGACAAAATTTATAGCATATGTTTCATTGTTCGGCCCTTTCCTTCAGGCTTATTTTCGTTTAGACGTAAATCATCAGTTGTCATTAATTTATTAACGCTAGTGTATATTTGTATGATTGTAATTTTCTTTTTAGAAGAAATAGAATACGAATTCATAGTAAAGAGAGGTAAAGAGTTATATTTGCGAGTGAGAAGATTTGTAGTTTTCTATATTGCATTCAAGGAGTTATCTTTTATTTTCTTTAGAGTGAACATTGTAACACATTGTATTTTCTAACAGGGAGAGCGTGAAGGAACGAATGTTTTTGCAAACAAAACCCTTTGTTTGTTTTTATATAGTTTATAATCGTAAATTTACCCGGTGCTTTAGGTGTGTAGAGAACTTGAAATTTTCTCCAGATCTGAAGGAAAAAACGATCAGGAGATTGTTTCGACTTCTCTGAATAGAAAAATAAAATGTCTGGAGCTTGGGTGAATACAGTACTGATTTAATTTGTTATCAAATCATAAGCATAATATATTTAAATTGAATTGGATACATCAGCTGCTATTATTTACATTGATCATGTTAGTACTATACTTTCGTAAATTTTGTTGAAAGAAAACGATAACAGTGATATCAATCGCGAAAATAGCTAATCTAGTGAATAACGACCGAATAAAAAACAGTATCAAAGCTTCTCCCCAAGAACGCTTTCCGCGAAAAGCTTTGAGATGTTTTTTCTTCCTATTAATGAGTAAATTACTTTGTCGTACTGTCCTGCGATTGACATTTGAAAAGATTCTTCTAACAGCGCAGAAGTGTGAGAATCTCGCCGAGTGTGAATCGTGCATTGTTATTGATTATAATTAATCTGTAAATAGTACCTCTAAGCCATGTTTTCCTACACTCGTGACTCTTGTATAATATTTTAATTTCATATGCAATCGCCCGGTATCTCTTATGCGTAACGGATACAAGCGTTTATCAAAGGAATGCATGTAACAAAGTACTAACTAAATCGAAGAAGCGCCGTAACAAGATGCTAAACACAAAGCAGCTATTAGTAAACAGCTGTGCGGAGTAATTCTTATTCTGTAATACAAAAATGATTGTCCGAAAAGAAGCAATCGGCAACGGAAAATTAAAATCTGTGTTCTAGAAAAAGGTGATGAAAACAAGCTTTTTGAAAATAATTACTGTTCTTGTTTGTTGTTTTGTGAAAAGTATTGAGAAATTCATCCTGGTTTGATACTCACTCACTCACTCATGTATCCTGCGAACCTTCAGTGGTACAAACTAGTTACTTTGTTGAGGCTCTGCCGTCATAAGCATCTGAGCCTGCCTCTGCTGCGATGTCCTGCCGGTCTTCCAACCAAATCCTTGCTTGTAGATTTCGTTCCCGCCCCTTCGTAGTGTGTGGCCTATACTGCCGTTATACGCATAAGAGTCCCACTGGACATAAGGATTGCATAGAACATGGGACAGTTATGCGTATAACGGCAGTATGGTTTTATGACACTACCCCGAATGTCACTACCCCGAACGCCGTTACCCTGAATAGTACACTACCCCGAATTCATTTCCAAAAGCTGTAAATAATTAATTCTTTGGATATACGATAAAGAAGGGAATATTCCCTTCTTTGAATGTATAAAAGAGAACAGCATTAATTCGTTAAATATATGATAAAGAAGGGAATATTCCCTTCTTTGAAAATATAACAAAAGAAAATAATTAATTCTTTGGATATACGAAAAAGAAGGGAATATTCCCTTCTTTTAATATAAGGAAAATATATAATCAATAGTTTTTCGCAAGGGACGCGGGGTAATGCCCATAAATTTGCACCGATTTTTTAATCCATCACGAGAAATTCTTCAACTCAGGTCGAACAATTCTTCGATAAGGTTTAACAGTTTCCGACTGGTTGAATTGGATTGCATAATAGACCCTTTGACTTTTTAAATGATGAACGAAGTGCTCGAAAACTTGAAGGTTGTCATTTTCTAAAGAGCTATAAAATGGTTTGGAATTGATAAATACATAGTTCCATAAAAGTAAACGTAGTGTATCATCAATAGTAAAGTGAAACTAATCAAAGAGTTTTGTCATGAAAAATATACTAAATCATATGTGTAAAATTTATCTAGAAAATTGGTATTCAGAAGATGTATTATTCAGTGTGCAAGATACTTGCGGACCTGTTTATTTATGGACGCCTGTTCTGTAATATAAAACTGAAATATAATATCAAATGACCAACAAAAAAAGTGATAAATTACTAATTTCATCATCTTTTCTGGGGAATGGTACATTTTGGGGAATGCTTTTCTGGGGAATGGTGCATTCTGGGGAATGTTATAGAATCTAATAATTTATTTTATTAGAATTTAGAGAGTGTCATTGTGAAAAATACAAAATACAGCATTGGAAGGGTTCGCGAATTTTCACGAAGTTCACCTAGAAAAAAGGTCGCGAATCATAGTGAACTTTTGCATCACTGATTTACATAAATCAATTTTAAATTGTTATTTTTATCATTTGTATTCAGTTTAAACTACAAAAGAAAATTTTCTTCTTAAAAATTTACTCTTCTTTTGATCACATGCTGTTCTTCCATTTGTCTTAATTTCGGGTTTATGGCCATTCGGGGTAGTAGGGTATTCGGGGTAATGGCCATTTGGGGTAGTAGGAAATTCGGGGTAGTGGCATTCAGGGTAACGGCGTTCGGGGCTATGGCGTCCGGGGTAGTGACATTCGGGGTAGTAAATATAATAGAATCCGGCAGTATACTTATTATTCTTCTTCTAGTCTTTTTTCGTCTCTTTTGCGAGCGTTTTGCCAGCTCTCAACATAGTGTTCTAGATGCACTTCCAATGCCAACCAACGGTATTGTGTGGCAAGCACAATGATACACTATTATGCCCAGGAAAAACGAAAGAATTTCCTACCCGAAAGATTTCCTCGACCGGACCGGGAATCGAACCGTCTCAGGCTTGGTAATGTCGTCCCTTTACCGACAAGGCCACAACCCATCTACACTTAGGTTCTCGAATTTATGTTGATATCGGCTTTGGAATAGGGGAATTTACGTATTCTCGGCAACCTAAGCAGCGACCTTCTTTCTATAGCCTTTTTCTCTAAGGAATGCACACATATGCAGTATTGGTTTGTTTACAATCTTTTGCTGCCAGCTGATCTAGCAATTTCAGTCGAAAGAATTGTCAAAAACTGTTTTGAAACGCTTTTACAAAGCTCCAATCTTCTCTAGTGAGAGCGAGTATTGTCGGCAACCAGTTTTTCTTCGGCAACCGTTCCATTTGAACTGCATGTAAATCTGCTGTTCTATTATCGGCAACTCGAAATCAGCTACAATTTGTAGTGCGTGTGTTGCATTTCAAGAAAACCTTGCTAGATTGCTTTTTCTAAGTGGTAAAAATATAGTCAAATTGAAGCTGAAAGCATAAAGAATCGTTTGCATGCATTCAGCGAAGTGTTTTCGTAAGAAAATCCAGTGAAAATAGTGTTTCAATTTGGGTTGCCGAAAATAGTCTGTCATGCCGAAGCCGTCATTTCCCCTACTTCGTTTCAAACGTAACGCAAATATCGGCATCTGATGACATCGACAATGGAGCTCAGCATTCGAGGTCCAGTTGAGAGACCACCAGGCACGAATTTTATACCGCAGGCAACGATTGATGAAGACCTGCACCTTTTGAGTGTTCGCCCCTGATACGCACCATGTTCTTATAAAAAAATACTGTGAAATTCAGGGCAGTCTAGAGAACTTTAAGCAAGTTCAGACATATTTTGGGCAGTTTTAATAATATCAGGAAAGTCTAGACTATTGATGTATTTATGAATTAGTGTTGATAATTTAAGGGCAGTTCCATTAACTTTCGAGATATCTAGAGAACTTAAGTGAAAATCATAGAACTATATTAATTATTTTGTTTTGATTCTAAGAAAATTGTGGGAGTATAAAGAAATTTCAGAAAAACTTCAAAAATTTAACAGAACTGCAGAGACTTTCACAAACATTTCGAGAAAGGAACTTTCATGAACAGTAGCAAACTGCGGGAGCATTTCAAATAAGTTTAGTAAGCTCCACAAAAAGAGGGAATTTCAAGGAGCGCTCAGTTCCATTAATTTCAGGAAATTAGCGAGAAATTTTAAGAAGTTCCCACTTTTTCAGAGAACTACAGAGATGTTAAGAAAATTATTGAGATGTCTGTATGTATGTATGTATGTAAGGTAGCCACCATCCCTTCAAAGATCTTGTCTTGTATGCAGCTCCACTTAATAGCATGATCAATTTGAGCTACCGATCTGAATTCACAATATCGCTGTTTGAAGGGCCAAAAACGGGGGGGTGGACCCGTAAGCAGAGACACTTACGTGAAATCCACGGGAATTTGAGAATCTCCTTCCAACGATACGATCCAGCAAATCGAATAACGCAATTCGCAATACTTATTAAGCTTCCTACAGGATGGTTTGTTAAGAAGGGTGCGTCAATCTCACTGAAACTGTTGGAGTAGAATTTACACCACCACAATCGAATCGGTAGGATAAAGAAAATGATAGTGTTTATTCCCTCCAAGACTCCGGTTGTCATACCACTCCATCGTCCAGTTTCAGGTCAAATGATACCCTGATGCTCCCACCCAACCCAGTATTTATTTATATAATGTAAATATATGTAATGGTGAAATGAAGTATATCGGAACATTAAAATATGAAACAGAGATGTTAAGAAAATTATTGAGATCTTCATAAAAGTTCAGAAGCTCATGGAAGCTTAAATATTTTTAGTACTGTTCAATTGGGTTGCTTAACTTCGAAAAATATACCAATTTTTATACATCATCTGATGGAGCTTCGTTTTTTGAGCGCAACGATATTTTTATCGATCCCGTAGACATTCATCTCGATTTTTAAATCAAGATTTAAATGTTTGATACTTGACACTAAATCTATTCGTTGACAGCTCGCTCCCATACAAAGTCTCACCAAGGGGCGCTAAGATGGTGATTTTTTTCTAATGTAATCGTACTTATTTAAAATAGTTCCAGTGTACCAAAATCGATGAAATTTTGGATTTCAGTTCCATTTTTAATGCAGATAACGAATATGTATTTACCTCAATACCCCTAAACAACCCAATTACATTCAAGGTAATTCAACTCGAGGGGCACGCAATACAAAGAACTGGTGCGTTGAAGTTAAAATGCAATTAAAAACACTTAAAGTAATTAATGCGTTTTGAAGTAGTACTGACGGTAATTAAAATTAAATATCCGTACTTAATGTAATTAAAAGTATTGAAAATGTAATTAATGTACTTTAATCACATGTCTGTGCTTTAATTACGGAATTTCGTCTGTAATTAATGGACTTATAAAGTAGTT